CTATTGAAATTAGAACTTCATTCTTGAGAATTCTCTGACTGGTATCATTCTTGGTTAGTGTGATCCACAAGAGATACTTTGTGCAATATTTGTAAACTAGAAGCTATACTCTTGATTTGCTTGAAGGGTCATGAATACCCAAGGCCCTGGTGCAGTTTGCTCTTGGAGCCTAGCCACTTACTTTAGTTGATTTGCTGATGTGATGTGGTATTCTGTAGGAATTCCAGTTCTTGTGACTTTTCACCTTCTCAAACTCCAGGCCTCCTTCCTGTTTAACTTAGTGAAAGGTGACACCATCTTCTCCGAAACATTTTGTTATCCTTGACATCTAGAGGTACTGAGACACCGATGCAGGCTCAAACTCATTCTCATGGGTACCACTCATTCTTGCAGTTGCCATGTCTTTGTTTCCTCCAACTGCTTGACCAGTTTATTTCAGGGTGCTGCATGAGACAGGAGAAGTAACCTTTCAAACTAACTGGTTTTCTCAGTTACATGATGCTAACTGCTTACAAGTAACATATAATTTATATTGCCCAGTAGGTCTAGTTCTTTCACTGTCTTCACCTCTCACAACATAGATCATCAGGGAATGATCTGTTGGGAATGTTGAATGTTCCATGCTAAGAAAATGTGGTATCCCTGGAATCTTAGATATTAATCATTCATGATGGTATGGAGAACAGAATAAGATGTAACTCAGTTATCATGGTAGATTCTAGCACCAATGAATGAACAGTCACAGGTTGAGTTCCCAGGAAAGCAGACACCATTATACCTTGTACAAAATTTATTAGGAAGTGATTTTATCATCAAAAAACCAATAAAAGTGAAGGGAGCAAGCAGTATGGAAGTAAGAGCTGGGCTTTGATGCAGTCCCTATGAATTTCTGTCATATAATGTTTTCCACTGAGTTGAAATGTTCCCTATAGTAGGAAGGAGACAGCTCATTGACTCGGGAGGTAAACAAAATGTCACATGTCCAGGGAAATGTAAAACTTGGAGCCTCTTGAAGGCCCTTCCCCAGTTTTATAGATGGAACAAACTGATGGAGGAGACTCAGACCAGCTGAGCTGCAGGTAAGAGGGATTCTCAGACTTTCCAGCTGCAAGTTGTGCATCGGGTCCCAGGATCACAGCTTCTGTCAGCTGTCAGTCATGTTGGGGTGGGATTTTCAGTGATGCAGCTGCTTTTGAGTCATCCTTGCTCCTGTGATTAACCTCTCACCCAGACTTCTGCTAGTAACCCCCATAAAAACTCACTGGTCCATGCAGTGCTTCAAATTTGGATGATATGAATTAGTAAACCATATGAAAGAAGAGATAATTTATAAAGAAAATATCATGAAAAAAATCATACAGTTCAGGTTATCCAGAGGCTCCATATTAGATTTATTTGGAATCTTCAAGGAAATGATAGGTTCTGTAGTTAAAGTTGTGATCCCAAAGAAATAGGTTCTAATGCCAGTGAAGGCATGGAATTGTTAGTAGGGTGAAAGCAAGCAGGCAACAAGCAAAAACTTTCTTCTTCCATGTCCTTATATAGGTTTCCAGCAGAAGGACTGGCCCAGATTAGAGGTGTGTCTTCCCCTTCAAATTAAGCAAAAGTCCCTCACAGGTATGCCCTATTTGGGGGTTTTAGTTAATTACAGATGTAGTCAAATTTACAACCAAGAACAGCTGTCACAATAAGAAACAGGAAGAGTTCATAAGAATGGGATTTCAAGAAACTGTTGAGAGATACACAAAGGAAACAATACATCTTGTTTCTATATTGAAAAATTACATACTGCAAAAATACCGCTGCTCCTAAAATTAACCCATGATAGCAATACATTCCAATAAAACATCAGTTAAAATACATTACAACGTTTTTAAGCTTTTCTAAGGATGTGATCTAACATAAAATATGGAATATACTATGTAGTCAATCAATTATCGGCATTGATATCTGACCTGGAAGAAAAGCATATGTCACTTTTCTTCTCCACATATATAGGTCCAAAGCTTAATTACTAACTTCTAAAAGGAAGTTATTCCTGTGGCTATGTCTTGAGCATTAGATACTGCTAAGCCATAAACAATGATGTGTAGGACTAGGGTGGGTGACAGTGTGGCTTCTTTCATTCTCCAAGATAATAAAGGTCATAAGAATAAAGGTTGCTGGGCAGGGTGGCACTCGTCTTTAATCCCAGCACTTGGGAGGAAGAGGCAGGTGGATCTCTGTGTTCGAGGCCAGCCTGGCCTACGGAATGAGTTTCAGGGCAGACAGGGCTACACAGAGAAACCCTGTCTTGAAAAACCAAATAAATAAATAAACAAATGGTCTTTTCCAAATCAGATTTTCTTTCTTGAGAAGGTCGTATTGGGGACAGGTATGCAATTTAGCTGTGTGCTTGCCTAACACACAAAAGATCCTAACTTCTAACCCCATCACCATGCAAAACCAAGTACAATAGCACACACCCATCATCCAAGCACTCAGAAAGTGGAGGCAGGAGGATCAGAAACTCAAGCTTATCCTTGTCTATATCCCAAGTCTGAGGGCATTGTAGGCTACAGGGACAGCCCATCCGAAGACACAAACAAGAACAACAAGGGAAGACAATTTAGAATGAGAAAAAAACCAATGTAAAAATGTTTACAATAGGATGGAACTAGAAGAAACCATCCTGAGTGAGGTAACCCAATCACAAAAAGACAAACATGGTATGTACTCACTCATATATGATTTTTAGACATAGAGCAAAGGTTTACCAGCCTATAATCCTCTTCCCCAAAGAAACTAGAAATCATGAATGACTCTATGGGATAAATGGACCCCAGGAATGGGAAGTGGCATAACCTCCTGAGCTAATTGCGA